AGCATGTGGGTGTGGCTACTTTCTACATCCCCACCCCCTCCTGCCCCTACAGTGGTGTTCAGTGAGATTCTGGGAACCAACTGTTATGGCCTGGAGACCACTCTCTTCCCTAAGGCCACAGTCCCTGGTTACTCAATGAGGAGGAAACATCAATGTTAGTGTAGATCTGGGGAAACACTTTATAAGCCAAAACTGACTGGAGAGGCGTGCCCCCTCTATGTAGAGGCCTATCCTGGTGCAGTAGCCCAGGGAGACCCTGAGGGGGTCCTGGCTGAGCAGGCAAAAGGGGAATTCAGGCTTTTGTCCTCAGCCCTGTGGCCACACAGATCTGCAACCAGCCCCATAAACATGCTGGGTGCTCCAATATGCACTCCACCACTTTCTGTGAGGAGGACACTGGACCCACAAGTCCCTGATGTTGTGCCCAAGATCACGAATCCGAGAAACCACCAAGGAGCCGACACCGATGCAAGCGCACGAGGGTTTATTTGCAAGCTGGAGCTTGGGTCCAAGTATACCCGACGAAGCGGAGCAGGGACTTGGACCCTGAGACTAAGAGGCGTAGCAGCTTTATAGGGGCCAGTGGCCCATGGGATACGCAGAGAGTTGCCCAGTCATGTCGGTCCACATGCAGGTGGCCTATTGAATTACATTTTACCCTAAAGTATCCATTTGAACTGGCCTATCACTGAGCCGATTTCCGATTAGGGTGTGCCCAGCGGCTTGACTAGGGTGGGGCAGCGCCCTAAGTAATAAGCAGGTCATGAGGGGGCGATACAGGAGGTGGCGGGTGCAGCACAAAATGGAGTTAGTCCTGCTCTGCTTGTCCAGGGATAGGGGATTTTTGTTAAATTTCCTGGGTCCCACATCTGTCACTTGTTCCAGCCGCTGCCTCTGATGCTGGAGCTTGGGATACATCCCTCAGTGATGTCAGTGCCAGAATTTTCAGTCTTGACCACCTCAGGTCCCACTGTCTGCAACCCTTAACACCTGGACAGAAGTTCTACCACCCAACTCAAATCTCATATCTACCCTGATGGCTGACCCAGGGATTTGAGGGGGGCCAGCTGGGAGCCCCCTAGGGCTTTGAGCCCTGCAGCTGAGCCAATGACCTACAACATGGCTAAAGCCCCTTCCTGAGCCCAAGACATCTCAGAGGCATCTGGTGGTTAGGTGCTGCCTGTCTGCAGTGCCCATCTGGTTGACGTATGAGTGCAGGAAGCACTGTGCGGTCTTGGTTGCTTTCTTGGGTAACCAGGACCAACAGGTGGCATTAAACTCACCTAAGAACACAGGCAGGTACATGCACATGGGCACACACACATCATAAAGGAACCCCCTCACCAACTACCCATAAAATTACCACTTTCTAGCCTCAAGGCCAACTTCGGGGAATTCTACCCACAACATTTATTCATTCATTCTTTCATTCGTTCATTCCCCCAACTATATTCAGTGAATGTCTCTATGCCAATCTGTATGTTAAGTCTGGTAATCATTTAATGACATAGACACAGCACATGTTCTCCTAATGTTTATAAGCTCATAGGAAAGACAGACAATAAACAAAACATAATAATACTTGTACATGACACTATGTGATATACATACCTGTGACCTATTGCTAGGTAACAAAGTAATCTCTGAATAAAGCAACCACCTTTTAATTCTTTCTCATTGTGTGGGTCAGCTAGGCTCAACTGGCAGCTCTTCTGCTCCATGTGACATGGGCTGGGGCTACAGTCATCTGGAGATCTGAATAGTCCAGAATATTCCAGAGGGCTCCCTCACAGAGCTGCAAGTGGTGCTGACTCTCAGTGGGTAGTACACTGAGCTTGGTAAATGCTGGTTGCTGCCATCATGGCTTGTTGGTGCTACCAGGTCTTGAAGGCTACCAAGATTTTGGGGAAAAGAGAAACCCATAGAGGCCAATTTGTGCAAAATATTGTTTTGCACGTGCTCAGAACTTCTTCAGTTACTCCAAACTCAGCTCTGACTTTCTCTGAAGGAGGATAAACCCTTGCTGTTGTCTCTCTCTCACCCCTTTACCAGCCCTTGCTGCTCTCCCCACTGTGATGCCTCAGCATCACTAGCTGGCCCTGCTTCCACCATCTACCGGACAGGAGCAGGAAAGGGTCCCAGGACCAAGGACAACACCCTGGAGCAGAAACTCAATGCCTTCTTGGTCCCAACTGTCCACTGACAGAGAACATGGCCCCTGAGAGACATGTCCCTGTGGCCTGTTCCTCCAGGCCAGACAGTGGTTACAAACACTGCTTCTTCTCTCCCTGTCAGGCTCCCATTTGCATAAACACCTGAGCACTGAGACCTCTCAACCACAAGCACTGACCCCACCTGCAGCTCAGCCTCCTTCCCTCCCTAGCCCTAAGCTAGCAGCTCCTAACTGGAAGGCTCATCAGAGTGCTCAGGTGACCACCAGTCACAGTCTAGAAGAAGTGGACTACAGTGGGGTCTGTATTTGACCTGACTCAGGAGCACCCCATGCTCACAGAGGCCTGTCCTTGCCCTCCACCCTCACCCTGACCCAGGCGGCCAGGCTGCACTTGGCCTTCCCTGCTCCTTCTTGGCCCACCTGCACCTGGAATCACAGCTCCTCCCCAAGTGCAGCTTGGCTGAGGCTGCCAGGGCCTTCTGGCCCCAATCCTAGCAGGGACTAACCAGGCAATGCAAGGAGAACCTGTTGCAGTCTTCTTCTAAATGAGGTACAGGGCGTTCTTGAGACCCCAAGCCTGAGGCTATCTGTCCACCTTCGGAACCCTGAGACTGCCACTGCCACCACCTCTCTCCCACCTCCCACATGGAACCCTCCCAGACAAGAGCCCTCCCTCTGGTTGAATTCCTGATGTATTTCACGCACTAAGCTAGCTCAGGATCTGAGGAAATCCTATTAAAATTAGTTTGCTGAAATAATTTTTTTTGGACACCACAATTTAAAGCAGGAATTTGAGAAATTGACACATGACTTTTGTATTCTTTCTCCAGTAAATGCCTCAATGATATATGAGGCATTCATTTCTACCCTAAGGAATCAAAACTGGTGTTCCCTCTGGGAGGGCCACTCCAGAGGACAACAGGAACATCTGCAGACCTGCATGGCCCTTTGCTCTAGTTGTGACCTGGTCTCAGCCCCTCAGTGTGGGGCAGGGGACTAATCATCCCAGTCTGCCTGAGACCAAAGGCCAGCTTAGTATTTCAAGATTTTATTTATTTATTGATGAGAGACACGGAGAGAGACAGAGACACAGGCAGAGGGAGAAGCAGGCTCCCTGTGGGGAGCCCGATGTGGGACTTGATCCTGGGACCCTGGGATCACAACCTGAGCCAAAGGCAGATGCTCAACCGCTGAGCCACCCAGGCACCTAAAGAACAGCTTATAAGTAGATTAGGTTCCAGAGTGAGAAATCCGATGCCTGCCATGATGGTCACCCAGCAGTGGTGGAATCAACTGAAGGACCCCAGGCCCCACACACCCCATTCTTTCCCTGTCCCATGCATCACCTTGTTTTTGCCCAAAGACAAAACTCCAACTTTCTGTTTTCATCTCCCCTCAACCAGCCTGATTACACAGAAATCTTTTTTTTAATTTAATTTTTATTCAAGTGGGCCTCATGCCCAGCGTGGAGCTCCACATGGGGCTTGAACTCATGAGCCTGAGGTCAAGACCTGCACCAATATCAAGAGTCCGACTCTTAATTGTCTGAGCCACCCAGGCGTCCCTACCTGGTAATCATTCTGACCATCCCTTCCTCCAAATCTACAGGGCTGTGAGCAGCACATGAAAGGGAACCGGCTCAGGGAGGGCAGAGTGAGTCCACAAGGGTACAGACAGAATGCCTTGCCCTAAGTGGTTTCTTAGACTGTGCCCTGAGGGCCTGGACAGGACACATCAGGGAGGCAGGATAAAAGCAGTGGCCACAGCAGCCCTGAGAATGGCCTGACCCTCTCACCCAAATGATCAAGGGTTATCTGCTCACATCCCCAGAGTCTCCCTGAGACTCTTGCATATGATCTACAAGAATACTCCAGGAAGAATGGGGGCATATGATGGGAACCAGGAAAGAGCTCAGGTGGGAGTGACCCAGAGGAACAACTCGGGAGACAGGTCCTGGAGGTGCCGTTCGAGGGGCTACGAAGTGGACCAAAGGTGACCATCTATGCTCAGGATGCATGTATGCCTTGTGAGTGGAACTTCCCAAGGGGACGTCACAGGCAGGACTCTGGCATGCTCTCCTGGCTGCCACATGGGGCCTTGTGAGTCCTTTTCTTTGATTCCTCATGATGGCCGAAGATATTGGAACAGGTGTGGACAGGAAGGAAATAGAATCATTACTTCTGGTCTGGATTCTTGCCCAATGTTAAACTTCCCCACTAGGTCTTGGACCTTTTACTGCTTGTGCCTCTCTGGTCCCACGATCACCTGGGCCCTCCCCAGTCAACACATGGTCCCCACACATTACCTCCAGACAGAGTCCTGCTGAGCCTGAGAGTAGAGAGAGGTAGGGACAAACTCAGAGCAGGGAGCCCCAGTCCCTACTGCCCAATCCTCACCCAGAGCAAGGAGAGGCCACACTCACCACTCAAGGGTTCTGGGGACCCAGGGCTAAGGATGTAGATGCAGATGTGGCTCCCAGCCCCTCTCAGCTCTCTGACTTCCAGCTCCTGTTACAGAAGCTTTTCATCCCCTCTGATCTGTGCAGAGGGAGACATAAAGTGCCCCCACGTCCTAGGAGAGCCCCTCCCACCCTACCCACTGCCCAGAATTCTTATCTGGGCTTCCACAGCTGCTGGTGGTATCTTGTTCTTGGAGAAAAAAAAACATGTGCGATGATGACAGTAAGAAAATCAGCAGGAGCAGCAGCAGGCAGGTAGCTGTCCATCCACTCCGGGGCACTGGGGCCTTTCCTGGAAAAGGGCCTTACAGTGACCTGGGCTCCTCAAGGATACAGGCCTGCCCTCCTCTCCCGACCCTGGCTCCTAACTCAACCAGGGTCAGAACCCCCTCCCCGGATCACCCCAGGCTCACCTGAGGGCACACAGTGTACAGTGTGGTTCCTTGTGGCTTCCATGTGGCAGGTGAACCTTTGCTCCTCTCCTTGAGACTTTATGGCCCCTCTTGTCCAGTAGGTCCCATGCCCGACACTACTGGTAATCTTTGCTCAGGGGTTCCCATCCTGAAGCCAGGTCAGGGAGGTATTCCTGGGAGAGAAACTGAAAGCCCAGCATGTCAGAGGGATCATGCCTTCCAAGGCCTGGCTGCAGAGCATGTTCACTGTTGAGGGCACTGAGAAGAAGGCACAGAGCTGGTGAGGCCCATGGCTGAGCCCTGCTCACCTCCACAGAAGACAGAGAGAAAAGGCTGCTTCTCCCACTTTCCACCTCTGGCTGAAGCCCTCACTGACCCCAGACCTTCTCCAAGTCTGTTCTGCACGCTGGGACCCAGGTCCTTAGCCCGGGCAAGAGGCTGGGCCAGGAATGGGATTTCTTGGATGCATGTGTTACTGCTGAGGAGGGGGCATGGAGGGTGGGCTCTTCGGCTGAGGGGACTCTAAAGGAAACTCTTTGTGACAGGGAGACTCAACTTCCTCTCTTGCTGACACCTGCCTTCTCTGGTTGAGTTCTACGTAGGAAAGCCCACTGCTCCCTGGACTATTAACACTGGAAGCTTTCATTTCCATCCCAACCTGCTTGGTGTCTCTAGAGACTGTAACAGGACAGGCGGATCTCAATACAATGCGCCAACAGAACATGTGTGCATCCCATAGGACAGGACTGCTGGGGGAGGCTCAGTGAGTCTGGGGAAGAAGAAGGCTAAGAAGGCTCCTTCCCCAGGGGTCATACCTGACCTGTCCAAGAAGCCCATTCAGGTTGCATCCCAGGACTTCTTGATTTCCATGATCGCGGTCTAGCTGAGGATGGGGGAACAGTCCATCCATGGGTCTTCAGGTCATAGGAGAGGAAGAGCTCCCCATCATGGCAGAAATGCCCAAAGCTCCTGGTGCTGTCGTCTTCTGAGATCTTGAGCCCCAGATCTCCTGCAGGGAATGAAAGCCTGCCTCCAGCCAGCAGTGACTTCTCCCACCCTGTGTCCCTCTGACTTCCCCGCCCCAGTGACAAACTCCAGCCAGAGGGCCCCCCTTCCTCTCCTCTATGTCTTCCCTGTGCTGGCTCAGTAATGGCCCCCTTAGGCTGAAGTCCACAGACCTTTAGCCCTCACCCCCACCCCCAACCAAATCCAGGAAAGAGACAGGGCTCTGCTCTCTACCCTGAACTTCCCTGGGGAAGTCCTACCATCACTCTTGCTCCGACCCCACTCTCACCTCGCCTGTGCCTACAGGGCCAGGACGCCTGTCAGACTCATTCTGAGGCCGTTTCCAGTCTCTCTCAAGTCCTTGACCTCTGTGTTCTGCGTCTCAGACCCCGGGACTGCTTCTCCCCACAGTCCCTGTGGCTCTACCATGTCATGGTGGAGGAAGGCTTGATCATCCAAGTGTCCCTCAGTGAAAAATCTCCGATACACATCCATCTTGGACTCCACTGTGAGGTTATAAGAAAGACTGTGGGAATCTGGGGAGGGAGTAGATCACAGATGAAGTAACCTGGAAGGAACAACAGATCAGATGCTCCTCTGAAAAGCTCTGCTGTCCTGAACTGCCTGAAATATTGAGCATGCAGAAAATGCACCTGTACAAAGGACAGGAAGGAGGCTTTCCATACAAGAAGAGAGGAAAGGGGGCAGGAAGGAGAGGGAAGAAGGAATGGCAAAGAGAAGTGGAGATGGACAGACATGCAGCATGGGAGCCAGGAGAGGAAGGCATGGGGTCCTGTGGGTGGTGTAGGTAAGAGGTCAAGGGGAGACACTGGCCTGCAAGAAGCAGGGGGAGGGCAAGAAGGCCATGGGGAAGGAGAGGCCTTGTGAGCAGGGAGGCAGGGGCAGTGGGGAGCCCAAGGTTGAGTGATCCATGGCCAGAGATGCCACGGTGCTCAGGGGATTATGGTGGAGTGGAGAGCCAGGGGCTGCTGCCTGTGGTGAAAGTTCATCACGGAAGAGATGGGGTCAAGGGTAGAAAGGGCAGTGAAGCAGAAGGGCTGTATGTTGGGGGGGGTATTGTGACCACAAGGGAGCTCAGGGTGTGCCAGTGCCCCTAGGGGTGAGGAAGGTGTAGGCCCAGGCGGCCCAAGTGGAAGAGTGGCAGGCTGTGATCCCAGGTGGGGATGGGTTGGACCTGCCAGTGTCCCCTGGGAAATGTAGTTGGTGGGGGTCTCAGAGCGGCAGGGCAGGGAGCCCAGGGGTAGTCTATATTAGAAAGGAGGGGGAGTGGAAGAGAAAACAGAACCAAGACACCACGATGAACTCCTTGTGGAAGGACTTGCATGTGGGGGTGGTTCTGGGAGGAACGATAGGCCAGACCCTCAAGGAGGGTTAGGGGAAGACATCCAGCACAGAGCAGGCAGGCTGGGAGGAAGCTGGCTATAAGGAAAGGCTGGCGCTGACCACATGGCAAGAACAACCAGTTCGAGGACTGGGTCAAGAAACCAAAGGGGGCATGAGGGCCAAGGATTAATCTGGGAGGTTGGACCTGGAGTAGCTTTCTGGTCCACAGGGGAGAGGAAATGGCAAGAGGATCAGGGGACACTAGTGCTGAGGCTCTGGGAATGAGGGACTGGGTGACCCTGAAAGAACTTAATTACAGGCTGACAAGAGAGGAGCGGGCATGGGCTGAGAGGAGGGAGGAGGCATTGCTGACTGCAAGGGCCCCATTGGAGGAGCTCCTGAGAGAGGAGAGCTTGGTGAGGGCCAGGCAGGGGGGCGCCAGCAGGCAAGGGGCCCTGGGGGAAGGGTACAGAGGGATCAGGGAGGTCTGGAGTCCAGCCCACAGGGACAGTGGAGGCCACAAGAGGGTAAGGGTAGGATGAAGGAGTGGGGACAGAGTGGTGCTGGGTGCTGGTCCAGGATGAAGGAGGGCCAAGGGCAGGTGCCTGCACTGGAAGGGAGGGAGGAGGAGGGGGCACCAAAACAGGAGACAAGTCTGTACATAGGAGCTGTGGAGCCTGCTATAGGGCTCCCCTTGCTGATGGCAGGAGAGCAGTGGAAGGGAGACTTCTAGACAAAAGGTCATCTCCGGAAGTTAGAGTTGGAAAAGTTGGGGGGAGGGAGATCTAGGCCAGAAGCCTCTTTGTGGGCAGTGGCCATGAAATGGAGAGTGGTGAGGACCCAGAAAGGGATCAAAGAAAGGAAAGAGAATGGCAGACAGAGGCTGGGGGCATGGGAGACTCTGAGGGGAGGCGAAGAGATTGGAGAAGGGGGCTTGAGCTGCAGTGGCAGGCAACAGGTACCCCCTTCCTGTGCCACTGGGTGGAAGACATGGTTCTCTGACACTCACCAAAACCCACCGGGACCCCTAGGCATGCCCCGGGGTCCTGCTGGGCCATTGACCAAGGTGAACCCCACCACCAGTGGAGCTCCCCAGCTGAAAGGCAAAAGGTGCATGCGGCCTGGAGTAGTGGAACTGTCCCCATGGCTACGACTCTGCCTGCCTCACGGTGGCTGTGGCTGTGGAGGGCTCAGCATAGCAGCTGAAAATCAAGACCAAAAAGTACAATCCAGTAAAAACATCGGCCATACCTTTCACGCTGAGAACAGACAACCAATTAGGAGCAGGACATGAGCTTAGCTGGTGACCACTGAAGTCCCCTAAGGCCAAGGGGAGACAAACCAAGAGACCTGGTACCTCCTTACCCCCACCCCAGGCCTGTTGCCAGGGGCGAAAACCCCCAGAAGGTTGGAAGCCAGAGATTCCAGATCCCCAGCAGAGTTAGACTCCGGAACAGTGCAGCCAAATGCTGCAGAGGCAGGCTCTGGGCAGGTGACTGTTAGGGCCCTAACCTCAGAGGCCCCGGATCCCCGGGGCCCAGAGCAGCACACACCTCCTTGCACTCCCATAGAAATGAAATTTAACAATACGTCCAAAAAATAATTAACCACCATAACTGGGATTTATTCCTGGGTTGCAAGATGGTTCGATATTTGTTAATCAATCAGTGTGATACATCACATCAATCAGAAAAAGGATAAGAACTATGTAATCACTACAGTGGATGCAGGAAAAGTATTTGGCAAGGTACAACATATATTCATGATAAAAACTCTCAACAAACTAGGTTTAGAAGGATCATACCTTAACATCATTATTTATTAAGGCCAAATATGAAAAATCCACAGCTAACATCATCCTTGATGGGGAAAAACTAAGGGCTTTTCCCCTAAGATCAGGATGTCCATTCTCACCACATTTATTCAAGATAGTACTGGAGCCCTAGCATAGCAATCAGACAAGAAAAAGGAATAACAAGGATTCAAACTGGCCAGGAAGAAGGAAAACTTTCACTATTTGCAGATGGAATGATACTGTATACAGAAAACTTAAAAGACAACAAGAATTAATGAATTCAGTACAGTCACAGGATAAGAAAAATCAATGTACAGAAATTTCTTGCATTTCTATACTCCAATAGTGAAGCAGCAGAAGAAAAAATTAAGAAAATAATCACATTTAAAATTACACCGAAAATAATAAAATGCCTAAGAATAAATTTAACCAAACAGGTAAAAAGACCTGTGCTCCAAAAACTATAAAACACTGATGAAAGAAATTGAAGATGACAAAAGAAAAGGAAAGACAATCTATACTCATGGATTGGAAGCAAAAATATTGTTAAAATGTCTAACCTACTCAAAGCAATCTACACTTTTAATGCAATCGCTATCAAAGTACCACAAGCATTTCTCACAGAGATAGATCAATCCTAACAATTTGTATGGAACCACAAGAGCCTAATCAATCTTGAAAAACAAAAGCAAAGACAAATATGTATATGTTATATGCATATATAATATATGTAATGTAATACATATAACATGTATTATATGTTATCTATATACATATATATGTAATACATATTATATATGTCATATATATTACTATGTGTAATATAACAAAAGCAGATTATATTACAAAGCTATAGTAATGCAAATGGTATGGAATTGGCACAAAAATAGCTCAATAGAACAAAACAGAAAATCTGGAAATAAACCCACAATTATATAAACAATTCATCTTTGACAAAGCAGGAAAGATTATCCAATGGGAAAAAGTCTCCTCAACAAATGATGTTGGGAAAACTGGATAGCAACCTACAGAAGAATGAAACAGGATCACCTTATACCATACACAAAATGAATTCAAAATTGATTAAAGACTTCAACGTGAGGCCTGACGCAGTAATTTCTCTGACATCACACAGCGCAGCAACATTTTTCTAGGTATGTCTCCTGCGGAAGGGAAGCAAAAGCAAAAATAAACTATTGGAACTATATCACAATGATAAGTTTTTGCACAGCGATGCAAACAACAAAACCCAAAAGCAACCTATGTAAAGGGAGAAAATATTTGCAAATGATGTATCTGATAAAGGTTTTTTTTAATTTTTATTTATTTATGATAGTCACACACACACAGAGAGAGAGAGAGAGAGAGAGAGGCAGAGACATAGGCAGAGGGAGAAGCAGGCTCCATCCATGCACCGGGAGCCCGACGTGGGACTCGATCCCGGGTCTCCAGGATCACACCCTGGGCCGAAGGCAGGCGCTAAACCGCTGCGCCACCCAGGGATCCCTGATAAAGGTTTAATATCCAAAATATACAAGTAACTTACACAATTCAATGCCCAAAAAACCAATATTCCAATTAAAAAATGGACAGAAGGCAGAACAGACATGTTTCCAAAGAAGACATCCAGATGACCAACAGAGACGTAAAAATATATTCAACATCTCTCATCAGGGAAATGCAAATCAAAACCACACTGAGATATCACCTCACACCTATCAGCATGGCTAACATCAACAACACAAGAAACAACAGGTGTTGGCGAGGATGTGGAGCAAAAGGAACCCCCATGCACTAGAGGTGGGAATGCAAACTGCTGCAACCACTGTAGAAAGCAGTATGGAGGTTCCTCAGAAAATTAAAAATAGAATTACAATATGATCCAGTTATTCCACTATTGGGTATTTCCCCAAAGGATATGAGAACATTAATTTGAAAAGATACATACACTTCTGTGTTTATTGCGGCATTATTTATAATAGTCGAATTATGAAAGTGGACCACATGTCCACTGACAGAAATCAGTTAAGCAGAAGTGGTGTATTTATACACTGGAATGATACTCGACCATATAAAAGAATGAAATCTTGATGTCTGCAATAGCATGGATGGATCAAGAGAGTATAACGCTAAGTGACATCAGTCAGGGAAAGACAAAGACCAAATGATTTCGCTTATATGTGGAATTTAAGAAACAAAACAAAATGAACAAAGCAAAAAAGAGACAAACCAAAATACAGGCTCAGAACTACAGAGAACAAATGGAAAGTTACCAGAGGACTGGTGGGTAGGGGGATGGGGGAAGCAGGTGAAGGAGTTAAGAGTACACTTATCTTGAACAGCACAGAGTAATGTA